ATCATCAGTATCATTAAATAGACATAAAAAAATGTCAAATGTCAAAAAATAAATGTCAAAATTTTTTGACAGATAGAATTTTTTTAACATTTTTTTCATATTCCTGGTATCTTATCTTACTTGAAATTTTTCTCTGGGGTGCGAGTTCTGGCGCACCCTGTATATATAAAGAGGCTTGTCCTGACTGACCTATCAACCCACAGTCTAAACCGCTGGAGACAGAAATTTCAAATTTTCACAGTAGATACCTTTTATAACGTTGGCATCCAATAAGAAAGGATTTTTGGAAAATCAACCCTTAAGGGGGTTAAATGGGGTGGTGAATTCGATGTTTTAAAGCTATATCCATGAAAATTGGTATTTAGGCTTTCGGTTAAAAATAAAAAAATACGTATTTTACCATTTTTGGAAATTTCACCCCCAAGGGAGTGAAATTTGAAAGGGTAAAGGGTCGTAAAATATCCGTATTTTTTTTAGAAGTTAAATCCATGAGAATTGGTATTTGGGCTCTCATGTTCCTGGTATCTTATCTTACTTGAAAATTTTCTCTGGGGCGCGAGTTCTGGCGCACTCTGTATAGCGTCAAAGTGAACTACTCTGTTTTCAAGAAAAGCGAAGTTATTAGAACAAATTTTGCAACATTTGCGAATCTAGTTGTCTGTACACGTGTCTGATAACAAACTATTGTTTATTATCATGATTCAAGTGGAATATGTTGATATCGTCATTCGTACCTGTCACATTATGTTCGAATAAAAAAGAGATAAATAAGTTTGAACTGACAGTTCATTAATTTGTATTATTATTTATTTTTCCATTAATTCTTAGAATAATATATGCGTAGTATGAATGTAGTACCATTAAAAACACATGTAATACTGTTCATACATAATGTTGCTTGTTAAAATGTTTGCCTGTGATATTTGTTTTGACCTATGGAAATATTTCAACTAACTAAATATTTAGGTTTTATTCAGTTTAAATGACGAGTTGTAATACTGAAATAAAACGGTAGTTTTGGGAAAAAGGGCGCTTATTTTTGACACTAGCTATACACAAATATTGATTATATTTGTGTGATTAGTGATAAAAAGATTATTACTGCGATAAGCAGATTCTTAATTTTTATTGCTATTTCCATTCGCATTATTGTTCATAAATATTTGTTTGGTTTATATAGTCGGGAAACTTCATTACTTGTGACGTCATGAGGCTGTTAAAATTTTCCAACATGCGAAAAGCAAATCGCGGCATTTGAAATTAATTAATTTATTTTTTGTAAAAAAGGAATTGTTCGTTTTGTCGCAGCTGTTACAAAGATCGTTGGCGTTCATTTTAATTAAACGAATTTTAGTAATTTCATAAATATCACGATCCTCATATGGCAATTTTAATTGGTTCTAATCGGGTTGAATCCTGCGATTTGCATAAAGAAATGCAAATCAATCTTCCATTTGAGAGTGTTTTAATACAGTATTGCTTGCCAATTCCATTAAGAGCTAATTAGTTTGATTAATATTCTAGTCTGGCGTGACAGATCTAAAACGTGTGGAAACGAGCCGAACCAGTTCTCGGTTTTTCGTTAAAAAATTCAATAATTCCGACGACTTGCTTATAATCAATTTAATTATTACGGCGATTTTATTTGAGTTTAATCTATAATTTAACGATTTTAAAGTGCTTAGCAGCGGTTTAGCCTTTGCTGTTAATCCATCCCGGATTCTACTTGTTTGTTGAACGATTTAACGATTATAAGCCACATAACAGGATGAACACAATGCAAAGTAGCTAAATCCGACTTGAATAATCAAATCGTAAAATTTTGTCATCCATGAGGAAACCCGAATTTGTTGGGTCGAACGAATACAATAAATGAATTTTATTACATTCAGTATAGGAAAGGAAAAAGTAAGCGATTTTTAGCCCCGATTGTGGCTTTGGAGGCTCAGACTAATTTATTTTATTCAGAGTCAATAAAAATCACATTACTTTGTTTTTTGTCATATGTGAAATACATCTCCGAGGAAAGAAAGCGAGATTTGTCTCCAGATGAAATTTATAGCGACATTTATGGCACTTACCATATTCTTGTTTAATGTCGTCTGGAGATTCAAACTCATGAGTTCTATTTTATTTTTAATTTTTGGATGTCTATAATGTTCCGTTACAGAAATTGGATGTAAAGCTCTTTTTTTCTCGTTTTTCTAAAACCAAAAGACAAAAACTTGTGCTTTAGCAGGATTTGAACCTAATGGAGTCTATGAACTCTATGTATCTGCAGTGCAGCGAGACCATTGTTTTATTTCATGCTTTGTTTCATACAACTCAAACATTTGTTGGATACTGCTTCTATCTATGTATAAGTATTAGAATTGAATTTGGATTTTTTTATTGAAGTGATATGCAAAAGAATTTCTCAATCTAAAATTTCTTAATTAAAAACGCACTCTTGGAAGATTCTTGCGTAAATTGCAGAGTTCATCGCAAATATTTGCTAACACAAATATTTAATTAACACAGAAAATTTAAGTGTAAAATTTGTATTAACAATAAAATCCAATCATTTTAAAGTTTCAAGCAAATTCTTTCTTATGTCAGTATAAATTTGATGTTTTCCTTTATATGGTTTTGTTTTTTAGGTGTGTTAGATTTGATCTAACATCCTGTATAATGTGGAAATTCAATAAACTAGTTCGAACTTCCAATTATTAAAATTTAAATTTGTAGTTTGTTTTGATTATTGCTTTTTATTTTTGTTTCAATTATTGTTTTGTGGATAAACGTATGGACTAAAATTGTTTGAATAATTCATAACAATTTGAAAAGTTCTCGATTAACTGTAAATGTAAATTAAACGTGGTTTATGTTGCCCGCTACTAACTAAAATCATAACAATGGTTGCTGCACTAAGCACTGGGAATTATTGCAGGAAAACTTTTTGAAACTCTGAATTTACATAAAATTATTGAATTAGATATAATTTCATTTTAAATAGTCAGTTTTAATGTAAGTTCACATATTTACTCCTACTTGAATTTTAACGAGAAACAGAAGACGCATTTAAATGTAAAGTTGTTCAAATTATTCAGACGTTTATTATTATTACGGTGTACATAAACTGGAAAAGAAGTGCATATTTATTTTATATATCGCTTTTTCAACTAAAAGTCTGTTGCAATTGTATCTGGACTTTCTCGATGTTCTATTAACAACGTAGGTAACATTTTTGTAGTTGATGATGTTGAAAGCTCAGACCTAAGAAGCTTTATCATGCTTTCAGTTCGATGCTTGTGTCGTAATTGGAAAAAGGAAGGAAACAAATAAGTTGACAATTTGTAGTAGAACTAAATTATTGTAAATGCGAAATCTACTAACGAGTTTTAGTTTATATTTATAGAACAAAAGCTAATGAGACATCTTAATTTGTTAGGATCTGTTTTACTTTTGCATTTAACCACACATTTAAAGATTTTTTTTTATTTATATAATGTGACAAACTTGTTTAAAATGTGTTTTTAATAAAAGTAAAGTCGCATGCAATATATTTTGGTCGTTAATGCCACAAAAAAATATTTTTACGTCAGAAATTTTGCAATTTACCCTTCCTTTGTGATTGATTTTTCTCTCTCAAAAAGTCAAAAATTGCTTAAATATTGATTGACTTTCTATTATTACTAACATTATCACGAATTTTAAATTATACAAAAATAATAAGTTTGTCAAAAAATGACATTGATGACCAAAATATATTGCAAGCGATTATACACTGGCTAAAGTTAACCGGACAACTAAAATTTTGCGATTTTTTTTTCTTGTTGGTCCATGAAAAGAGGAATGAAGGCGGGGTGAAAAGCAAACATAAAAAAATACAAATTAACAAACAAAAATAACAAAAAATTAAATTTTTAATACTTATAAAACTATACAGGGGTCTTTTAATAGGTTTTTCCAACATTTTCGAAAAAAAAATTCAAAATTTGGTACAGATGATAACTTTTATACACCTAAACGAGTTCAAAGATAAAATGTTTAAATTTTTAATTAGGGGCTTCCTAAACTGAGTGGGTTTAGGGTAAAAAGAACTCTAACTATTTTGCCAGTGGTTTCTTGCTACTTTCAGCAAAAGTTTTCTCACAATGGAAAATCAAAAGACAATCTTCTTCAGTCTGATAGGTACATGAGTATAAAATGTGTAAAAAAAGAAGAAAAATGGTTATACGTCGTAAATGCCAGAATTTGATTAATTTACTTTTTATGTATCTGAAACGTCGTTCGAATTTTATTTTCTGTTAAGAAATTTTTAACTGTAATATCACAAGAAAGTGAGATAAATTGAAAAGACTTTTCGATAACGTGTTGTCAAGCAAAATCCATAAGGGACCGAAGGATTTTTACTTAATAATTACATTGTGTGCTCAAATAAATGTGTGGTCGAAGTCATCTCTGAAAAGCAAAATTTAAGTCTTTGCTTAAATCACAAAAATTTATAGTCAACCGAAAGATCAGTCAATTAGAACTTTGATTTTATAAGTTTTTAAATCATTTGTAAGTAAATCACAGTTCTGCTTTTGCAAAAAGTCTTTTGGTACTTGACAGAATTATTTTGTGTTTAACAAATCGTTATAGTACAAATTTTTGTGGATCAAGCAAAGACTCGAACTTGTGTTTCAGAGTCAATTTCGATCACACAATATAAAATAAATATAAATCCAAGTGGTTTACTGTGTTACCTTGTTTAACAAAGCCGATTATGTCGATCAAGCCTGTCATTATTTCAGTGGTGCATATTATAAGTAAACATAGATGATACTAGCAGACAGATAATACAAACAAGGTCCCTACATTTTCAACAGGCTAATTATTTTAACGGTACAAGATAAGCAAAGTTTATTAAAAGGTTAAATACTAAATTATTTTCAACAGGTATTGAATTGAATTTTAGCAACCACCCTTTTCTAGCATTGTTTGTATGTATTTTAAAAACAGCATTTTTGTTGCAGGATCTCCAATATTGAAGAATGACGGCGCGAACTCACCGACTATGCCACCGCCGCAAATTACAGGTGAGAAATCGACATTTTTCTTTTTCAATAATAAATTTCACGAGTGAAATAAGTTTATTAGTTGACTTTTGACGCGGATTCCCATTTATCTTACTTACGTTTGTTCTTGACTTTATTTATTTACGTGTTATTTATGAAAATGGATGATGATATCGTAATGTTGTGGACCAGCAGCTTTCAATCTGTTTACGCGAGATTTATTTCGGTAAGATTGACTCGCGGAAGGTTTTTATGCAAGTAAATGTTATTTGAAAGAGGCTTTCCATATAATGTGAATTTAGGATCAATTACAGGTTTGTTTCAACCAGCGACGTAGATTTTTCATGCGTGCGAAATTTCCATCAACAGTATAAATTAATGTATTATGTTACTTGAATAAGCTGCCACATCCACCGACGATAACAGTATGTCCGTGTAATGGGTTTTATCGCAATGAGCACTCGAGATGTTATCATAAATGGGACGAAATAATATTATAATTATAACAACAATAACCTAATAAAGTATTGATGAATTTATTTATGACAAATTTATGAATTTTTTAAACTTTCACTCCTAAATGTGGAGGTTTTTAAATTCTGTAAATAATAGGAACAACTTTGTTATTGTTTAGAGGAATTTTGAAACATCCTTTGTATTTTTTCTACTTTGTTTTCGTACTTTGTGCAGAGTAGAATTACCTTAGAGCCAAAAATGCTACAAAACTATAAAACAAAAATTAATTATAAATTTCTTGGAACCGTAGAATTTTTTTTTGAATTTAAGTCTACATATACCTATGTTTATGGATAATATTTCAATTATTCAAAAATTATAATACCGTTCATGAATATAATTTATTACATATATCTTTTTTAAATGTTTTGGTGTTGACATGTTTAATTTATAAATCAAGCAAAGATATTGATTTATTGTTATTAAATAAATTTAAAAAATTGTACCTACAAAAAGAGAACTTGAAATCTCATGGTAAATTAAATGATTTTTGATCTTTATTTTTAACTGTTTGATGAATAAGAGGTACAGTTGGAGACAAAATACTTTGGTCGTCACTTTTCTGACACTTTAATGTAATTCAAGCTTTAACGTTAAAATGAATGACAATTTCAAATTAATGACCGTTATTATATTTTCCTATCAAAAATATGTACATACAACTTGTCAACTATCATTGACAGTAGGTAAAAATAAGGTTAACAGTCCTAAAGCGTGCTTTACAATTTAATGTCACTCAAGTGCCATTGACAACCAAAGTATTTTGTCTCCAACTGTACCTAGTCTGTTGTAAAATGATATTAGCAAGTGGAATTAGATACATTTTATAAACGTTGGACCAATTTTATGTAGACAGGATGTTCAATTTTAAGATAAAAGTTTAGTATAAATGTGTATGAAGTGTAAATGTATATCGAAAATACTGTCTAAGTGACTGTTGAAAGACATCCAGAAAGGGATGGGCCTTTTAATGAATTTTTCTCTGTATTTCAGAAACCATAACATAGATAAAGTTACAAAATTTGGTACAGCTGATAACCTTTATACACCTAAATGAATTCAAAGATCAAATGTCGATATTTTTGTTATAAAATAAAAAGTACTATTTTGCTTTTTTCGATGCTCGTTTTAGGGAAATCTTGTCTTAAAATTGAATATTCTATCACCTGTTTAAATTTGTAACATTGAAACGGAACACGCTATAAAATATCTTAAAATGTACGACCAATTGTACTTATACGAAATCTTAAAAAAAAACATTTTTTTATTGTTTTAAAAAAATATAGACACTTGAAACAAAAAGTAACATTTTGGCTTCACTAAAAAGGTGATATTTGATCAGAAATTTTACTAAATTTAGGAATTGTTATAACGAATTTTATCAAAATAATGTCAAAATTGACAAAATGCCAAGATAAGTGTATTTTATGTTTTTCTAAAATACGATATAATTGACGACGTATATTTAGAAGAGCGTATATTAGCGGGAAATGAGACCTTAAATGCATCGTAGTAACAACAGTTTAATATATTAGTGTTGTATATTAGTTTGTTTAAAATTGTTTTGGTTTATGATTTTAAGTTTTATATTTGTACAAGCGACATTCTACAAAACACGTAAAAATGTTATCAAAGGTTATCATTAATTTGATGGACTCTTCATTTATTCAGTGATTTAATATTTTACGTCTATGTAAATGGACGCATTTATCGACAAAGTGATTTTATAAAATAAACTGCAAAACATAAAAAATGTATCCAGTGAAAATTAAGTTTAAAGTGCTTTTTCATAGAAGTTGTAAAACATTAATGATATGAAATGTAAAAAATAAAAAGGTTGAACTTAAAAATATCATATTTTTTATACACGAGTGTGGCTAGTAGTGGCGGGTATTTTTATAGAATTATTCATTATTCTTATTTTTGTAAAAGAACACTTATTGAGACAATAAAATAATCACAATTCTTTGATCAATTCAAATCAACTTTTGGTACACATCGTATATTTACGAGTAGAAAACAACCAAGAACACTACAAAAAATATTTTTAATATTTGATTACTACAGTAGGTGTAGACATATTGTTTTTGAACAGTTTTCCTACTGCCTGTGTCAAATAACTACTGCCTGAAGAACAATTTATCTTAGACACACTTTAGCTATTCCTTGCGAACTCGTTAAATGATCCAAGTTTTCCCACCGTCCACTTGGTCGTAATTTCGAATCGTATCTTTTGCATCAACGACATAAAACATTTTATATTCCTAGAAATCCATAAATTTTGTAACTTATTTATTAAATTTCTACATATTATTCAGGAAGAACTCGGGTCAACCTACGTAAAGTTTTTTTTTCGTTTTTTTATAATCACTTTACGTATTTATTGTGACATTAACGGCTTTCAGTAATAAAAAAGTACATTTTATTGGTTCTGATATACAAGCAATAAATAAATGTGTAAAGAGGTCGCGCCGATGAATGGTATTCAAAAGTAATGTAGTTGAATATTTCAATTTACCTTTGTTTCATCTGAAACGAAAGATTTAATCTTGTTTCGCGCAAAAAGTAGTTTTGGGACTTGCTACGAAAATATAGCAAATTAGTTTAGATCCTTTAAAGGCTGTTGAATGTAGTTTCTGAACTGTAATAATTAAATTTGCCTCAGATACGTATATGTGATACACACCTGAAACACAAATAGTAAATTAATTTTCAACATCTGGATAACACATCGACCCGCTCGAGATTAATTAAATGATAAAAAAAGACCTGCGAGAGACGAACGTAAAGCTTTGATATTTCTTCGATTTTTCTAGGCGATCAAATTTCTGATTACCTCATCAGCCATCCGGATTTCCTGGAGCGCTACGTTATGGACGAGGTTGAAGTGGAGCAACTGGAAAGGTGGATCATACGTAAATCTCAACGTTTAAAAAAGAAACCGGAAAGTGCGAGTAGAAACGGCCGGAAAACCAGTCTTTCGAGATGGAAGTTTTGTGTCCACGCCGACAAACGGCAGATGCTCCAGGATCTTACTCACAGTCTACAACTGAGGCCTACGAAGGATCACGTCTTGTGGGAATTGGCCAACTGCATTTGTTCCGCCGTCAATGCAGACGGGTTTAGGTAAATGATTTTTCTTTTTTAATTTTACATTGTCGCAAATTCAAACATTTTCCTACCCCATACATCAATGATTTCTCGACTGGAACTTCAAGTTTTTCTCATTTTTAAAAGTAAAGCACATCTTACTGTTTTAATACTTCTTGCTTTGGATGCTTTCTATAACAAAAACAAATACAACATAAAAGAAGTTTTTTTGAATTTGAAATATTTGTTTGATATTTTATGAAAAAATACAGAAATGCGTTAAGAAATATTTTTGACGATTAGTTATAGTTATTTATTATACAAGACGATAAAGAAATTGTTTATCTACTAGTGAAAAGGTTAAGTTTACGAGTGACGAAGTCACGAGTGGACTTTTTTCACGAGTAGATAAACAATCTTTATCGTCGTGTATAATATTTCATTTTATTTTATACTCATCTATCAGAATTTCTTGAATATAAACAGTAGATAAAAATTACTTTATTTCACTAGACGATAAAAGACTACTTTATCTACTGAAATTAGTAGATAAAAGCACTTAACATTGAGTACAAAATAAAATAATTTTGTTGAATCTGAGACCGCATAAAAAATAGAAGATTAGTTAATTATAAATAAATAATCCTGATATTATGCCTTTCCACAATGACTGTAAGTCTTATAAAAACGTAAGTAATTTTTGTTATTTTTGGACAAAGAATTTAATTTACAAATATTTTGTTTCTTTTCAAAGTTTGATTAAACGTATAATGGAATTCATTCATTAATTGTTCGTCTTTAAAAATAGTAATAAAATAGGCATTACATTATAATCATCTACAAAATAGAAGCTTTGTCACCTTTTAGATGTATTTGCATTTAGGAAAACCGAATAAAATTTTAATTTTTCATATAAGCAGAAAGTCATTGAGAACAAGCTAAAGAATGTTTGCAATTCAGTTAGCAACTGAACTGAAAGAATGCCGTTAATAAAGTATAATAAGTCGAAAATTAATGAACATATTTTTGTTATTTACCTCTTCTCTTAAAACCGTGCGTTTAATTATTAGGGACAAAAAAGTTTATAAATTAAATTTCTCACTCAGTGTTAGAGAATTTTGTTAATATTGTAAATGGTGTATTTTTATAGGTGTTCTATTGGTGCAAAACTAAAAAAACGGGTTCATATAAGTTGTTTATATGTGCTTTTTCAGTTAGGTTTAGAATGGCTTGATTACTACAAACTTGTTGTCAAAAATTTCACATTCTAAACCAACATTAACTTTAAAGTCTCTTTAATTCGATTATGAAACTGGCCCTTAGATTTATACATACTCCTATTTGATTAAAAAAAAATCTGAAAGTAAACTAATTTCTCTCGAAAGCATTGTTCATTTAATTACAACTGTTAAAATGTTTGTTCAATTATAGTGCAACAAGTTGTAGATATTCGTAATTAGCATTAATTATGATACGTGATAGAATTCTACTGCAAATTTTAACCAAACTCAGAAGTTCAGTAGGTAGGTATGTTGTCTAAATAATTTTCACGAGTTAGTTAAAGGTAATTAAATTAATTAACAAGGGCATAATAGTTATTTACGGGCTGTTAAGAGGACTATAACTACCTACCGAAAGATATGTTTGAAAGTCGACGAAGAAGGGCCTTAAACCCCCCGAGATTGTTATGGCCCTTAACAGCACGTGGTACAACATTTTCTGTGGTATTATATCACTAAACTTAAAAAAGATAATTTTTTAATTCTGAAAATGTTAATATTTCGGGCATTAAAGCGAAAGTCGGCAGTTAAAACCTCTTAACAGTCCTGTGTGATCCTAGGGTGATACTGACAGCTTCAGAATTGTAAATTGTTGAATGTTATTTATATCATTACATGGAACGGCGAAAATTAACATAATTACTTGCAATAGGACAATGACAAATGGTCAAAATTACATATTTACTCAAAAAATTTTCTCCAATATTTTTCCAAAAAGAAACTAATTTAGTCGAAATGTTTCAAACATAATTTTTATAAATGTAAATTGAACGTCCTATAATATATTACAATCTAAGTGGGAAATACATACCAGGTGAATAAAAAGTATGGAACCAAGCGTTTTTTTCGTAAACTAAGCACTTTACAAAAAAAATAATTAGTGTAGCGTAAAGTCCAATTAAAATGTGACCATTTATCAAGGATAACATTTTTCGAAATTTCTTTTAGTTTTCGAGTTTTGGAAAAAAATATTTTTTTAAAAGGCAACCCACTATGGTAATTTTTTTAATTAAAGATTATGATTTAAAAATGACCTCTAATNAAAAAAAATAATTAGTGTAGCGTAAAGTCCAATTAAAATGTGACCATTTATCAAGAATAACATTTTTCGAAATTTTTTTTAAATGTCAACCCACCATGGCAATTTTTTTAATTAAAGATTATGATCTAAAAATGACCTCTAATTAAATAAAATTGTTTTTTAGCAAGTACTTTTTTTTTAATTAATTGTTAAAGTTGCGTTCCGAGCTCATCACGAAGATTTTCCGAACTTAACCGAAGTGGTTGTTTCATGCTTTTCATCATGGGAGAGCGCTGATTTCTATGCAGGTGCTTTGGGGTGGTTTCGAATGGACTAAAAATAGAAGAAAATGATTTGTTTTTACATTTTTTGATCCATCCGGAACCACCCCAAAGCACCTGCACCAAAAACCGGGCTCTCCAAAGACCAAAGTCATGAAACGACTTCCTCGTTCAAGTTCGGAAAATCTTCGTGATGGGCTCGGAACGCAACTTTAACAATTTATTAAAAAAAAAGTACTGACTAGAAAACAATTCTGTTTAATTAGAGGTCATTTTTAGATCATAATCTTTAATTAAAAAAATTACCATACTGGGTTGCCATTTAAAAAAAAAAATTTTTCAGAACTCGAGAACTAAAAGAAATTTCGAAAAATGTTATTCTTGATAAATGGTCACATTTTAATTGGACTTTACGCTACACTTATTATTTTTTTTTGTAGAGTGCTTAGTTTACAAAAAAAAACGCTTGGTTCCATACTTTTTATTCACCTGGTATATCATTACTCTGAGAGCTGGTTGTCGGACCGAGAGGCGTAACCTCGAGGTTAGATAAAACAGGAAAGTGTACTGAAAAATGATGATAAAAGACTTTAAGCTAAGCATAAAAACGAGAACAGAACTTTTTTCAAGCTTTGGTTTCTGAGAAAAAACACAACAGACAATTTCTATAGTATCGTGTAGACAAATTAACTCTTTTGTTTTCGATGTTGTCAGATTTAATTTATTGTTGAATTTCCTAGTTTGTTAAATGTTTTGTGCGCCATAAGACAAAAATTGGTGATTTTTTTAACAGGAATCTGTTTAATGTTGCAAAATCTGCTGTTTGTGCTAACTAAATTTAAAAATACATGATCTGAACGGCCAAAAACTTAACCCAAAGATCTAATTTTTGAAGAGCTAGGTTGAGGTATCTCGTGAAGAAAGGCCCAAACAATTTTTTGTCATGGGAACTTTTAACTCAGTTGATGTCCTTTATCACCACCCAAGAGATGGTCCAAGACTTTTGAATCACTCTTTTGTTTTAATAATAAAGTATTTGTTTCTATAATCAAGTTGATGCATTGATGTAGTGGCTACTTGCAAATTGCGTTTTTAATTTAAAAGACAAAAAATTGTGGTTACACCGTAGAGATAACAAAAAAGATTAAAATTTTTTTCAAAAAATCTTGACCTCAGCTAAAAAAATTTTTATTTGTTGCTACAATTAACCTAACGACGTATATTATCAGAATTTTTTTAAGACCGACATAGAGTAAAAAAAGTCGAAATGATTATAAACTAAAATTTCTCACGTATACACTTTCTACCTACAATAAATTCTACACTTTTTTTGAATTCTACATTTTTTTTTATTAAGAATTGATCCATCAAACATTCCTAAAATAACGAATTCTCTAGTTAATTGGCTAAATTCTACGGATCTTTAAATTAAGCGATTGTGTTTGAGATAAAGCACACAAAACATACCTACTTTCTTGTATACATTCACTGAATAATTAACCAATCTAATAAAACTAAGGGTGTGCCATCAGATAAAGGATTGTGTGTTGAAATTTTTAAGACTGTAGCAATGAATTATCAAATAAATTAAATTTTCAAAGATAACAAATTAAAATAGGAATTTTTTAATTTATGACTTAAAGAATCGATACACGTACCTAATCTATTCTTTTAAACTTTTGAACTTGTACCCGATTAATCAAGTTTTATCCGCACCCGAAAAATTCCTGTTTTCTATTTACTTGTACCTATAGTTGTTTTTTTACTTTTCTTGTATTTTTGTATTGAAGTGGTAAACAAAATTTTCCAGAAAAAAATCGGCGTTTTTGCACTTATTTTTTTGAGTTATTAAATTTAGTAAATGAAAATTTTGTTGTCTTTAACTCTCTTTATGCCCGTTTGAGGTACATATCTTATTCTTAATTTGTAAAACTAAAAAAATCAGATTTTTAACATTTTCAAAATACCTGGGAATATTAAAACATGGCAATAGGGAGCATTGTTTATTATATTTTGTGCAAAAACTTTTCCCCAAGCAAAACAGTTTTAATAAACTTTGTCGTCTTGTTTTAAAATCAATATTTTCTAAACGTCTTCTCTTACAGGTTGTATCTGGTGGATAAAGGTGATCCCGAAAGTTTAGCCCTCTTTTTAGGAATTGAGTGCAAGAATGAAAATGGAGAACCGAAGTTACAGAAAATAAAAAGTGGAGTCAGTGTTCCATTGTATGTTGCCAAAACTCTTGAACCTGTTAGACTTTCCAGGGGCGAAGCTGACCCTCGTTTTCCGGATGGAATACCAAACGATGTAAGTCTTGTTGACGTATAGGATAGGATAAAAAAACAATTGAGTGGGTCAGAGAAATGTGCCTTGGTCACGAGCGATAAGAAAATGTTAGTTTCGAAGAGTGGTCACACATGTATTGTGTCTATCTATTGCAGACATTGAACAAGCGTCAGGTTTAATCTAAAATATTTTCTTTGTAACTGAAATATAAACGCGTATGGAGCTTTATAAAGACAAAGTTGAGTTGTTTTGTTCGCGTATCATGAAAGTGCTATTTCTTTTTACGCTTCACTGAAACCTTTTTATGTAAGTCTGATTCGTGTTGGTGTTAAGTGTTAGGTACAGTATGTTCTAGAATTATTTAACACTAAATCTGCACTAATGGTGTGTCAGTCTTAAGACTCTTGGTTTTTGAGACTCTTTTTTTCAAAACATAATTAATTAAAATTTGAATATTTTATTTAAGTTACCAAAACACATCTTTGCAGATACTAGAAAATATTTTTCTACACCCCTTATTTAATGTTGGATATCTCATTTCATGTAGACAAAATTTTGATTTAAAATGTTTAACATTTTGAAATGACGGAGTTCTTGCAATGGTTTCTTAAATAACTTTCATATTTTTGTTCGAAAATGTTAAACATGCTTTTGTTTTTTTTCCAAAAGCAAAATTTTTGAAAGAAAGTGGCCTACCTAAAAATACTAGCTAATAAAACATAATGTTTCAATTAGTCTAAAATTTTGGTAATCTAAATTAAAAAAAAAAAACATTTTTTTGTTAGGATATATGTACTTATATGAAAAAATCTCTAAGCTATTAAGTAGAGCCAGGTGATTGAATAATTTTTAAACTTCTTTAGGCTAAAAGCTAAAGTAGTTGTTTCATTTTGCAAAAAAATTCTTGTATAAAAATTTAAAAACAAATTAGTTATTTTTGGTTTAATTTTTGTTTATAACTGAGTAATCTTTTATTTCTTTTTAACAATTCTATTTGTATACAGGGTGTATCAGAAACATTTTGCAAAATTCTTATTAATAGCTTTTATTGTTTTCCCTCATAATTTTGTGTAAACGAGCCGTTCAATGTTAATAAATAATCACAACAATGCGGTTCTTTTAATGTAGTTCCGTTTCTATCACGAGAATATTTCCAAATTTTTAATTTGATACCCATAGACGGGTATACGTTTTGATATGTTATTTTTTCCAAATTTTAAATCAAATTTGAAATGCCATGTAAGGTAAGATACCAGGAGCCTGAAAAAAATATTTAAAAAATTCTATCTATAAAAATTTCGAAGTTATGAGAGTTTAAATTTTTCATTTTGGCTCTATTTATTTCTGTTGGGAAAATGATGACAAGTTTTTTTGCTATTAGAAGAGGAAACAAGGAAGCTGTAAGTATCTTAAATTGTAAGTCTGTTTAATGTTATTTGTGGTCTTTATTGGCAAAATTTGATTACCTTTACTAAATAATTATAAATAAGCATGTTCATAAAAAATGTCGAATGTCAAAAAATTAATGTGACAGGTGGAATTTTTTACACATTTTTTCATGTTTCCTGTATCTTATCTTACTTGAAATTTTTCTCTGTAGTGCGAATTCTGACCTAACCTGCAGTGAAAATTATTGTTTTCATAAAAATAATCGACCAGGTCATTTTTTTTTAAATACACAATTTACAACTTGATTTAAAATTTTACATTTTTGGTTTTTGAGTAATGATGTCATCGACATTTTTTTTCAATGGAAACTCTTAATTTTTTTAGCCATTTTGATAGATCTTTTATTATCGAAATGACAACGCCAAAATATTAATTAAATATTATGTAAAGTTTCCAAAAAAAAAAATCACCAAAAATGGTGGTGATAATCAACAAAAAAGCAAACACAATTTTAAATCAAATTGAGAATTTCGTATTTTTTAAGCAGAAAATTGACTTGTTTGAGCATTTGTATCAAAACAAAATTTTCAGTTTTAATAAATAAGATTATTCCATAAAATTGCCATTCACTGTATAAGAAGAGATTTAACCTAAGGGCCTGTAGGGTGAGTAGGGTACTTTTCCTAAGTGACGGGTTGGAACAGCCTTATATATTATTTATTAAAATATAATTTCCTCTGAACGATCCTCGCGTTATATTAAAGTCTGCTTTGATATTATTATTAAAGAGGTTTACTAAATTCGCTGTATTCCAATCGTTGGTTAGAAACAATAGATTTCGTGCCTTTGATATCAAACTTGTAGTTTATCAATCGTAAATGTGAAATAAATTTTAGACGCATCAGCAATTATGTCCAATTAAATCGTAATTTTAAATTATTACAGAACTGTAAGTTATAAATATAAAGCCCACGGTGACATTTTAATTTACGATCACATTAATCTGTGATTAGTGTGAATTAAATAAATAATTTATACCGAAGCAACAAGCTAATTTCGGTGTATTAGCAGCATGTGGAAAATGCAGGGATTTTCTAATATACGGATGGAATAATTTGTCAAAACAGAATGATTTGTCATTGTGGTTGTCCGCAGTGTATTATCGATATTTAAGGGTAAAATGAAATCTAATATCCAGCATACCAGTAAATTCAATAACTACGACAATAAAACGGGAAATAAAGGAACAAAACAAATTACTGACAAGTCGAGTTTTTGAAACTAAATCATTTATCATTTTCAACTTGAATATTTTGCTTTTAATTACTACACAACTTTGAAGGTGAAGAAATATCTCTTGGCATTTAATTTGAATCTCGTAGTGAAATAATGCTTGTAAATACTCTTTCTTGTGCCAAGAATTCGTTATAACATATTTAAATCGAGAAATGAATTTAGACTTTTAAAGAGCTTAGAAATTTCCAGCACGGATGTATTTTTAATCGCTTATTTATTGAACATTGATTCAGGTTTTCTTACTTTTTAAAATCTCTTTTTATTTAACTAAATTTAATAATTTGTCAGAACGCATTATTAATTCACACACTTTTATTTTTACGGTCGAACATTGCTGTTTCTCCATAAAAGAAGTAATAATGATGTCGTGAATTTTGCAAGCAATAAACAGACCAATAAACACTTTGAAAAGTCGAAAAATTCATAAAGTTGACCATAAAGATAAAACTATGTAGATTACAGTTCCAATAAAATTGTGTGGTAAATTTTTTGCTCAAATTTAATATTCATGGTAGAAATTCTTGGTTACTGGTTATTCTTCTGCACTATACTGGTTATGCTTATGAAGTTAAAAGTTGTCGCGTGACGAGATTCACGCATAATTTCTAGAAATTGGATGTAGGAATTTCCTTTTTTATATTTATTCGAAATGCTTGTCACATGTAACTGCTTTTATAATTGGTTTCGATAAATAAATTATTAATCGTGCATATATGAAATAAAATAAATGCATAAATAAGTAATTGAGTTGAAACAACAGAATTATTGATTAGTAGAGCTTTTAATTAATGGTAGCTGTTACATTTTTTATGCACAAACGTAACAAAATAAGGAACACGTTTTTTTTTTGAAAAGATAAAAAAAGTAATAGACAATGAGCGGCAAAATTGTGGAATAATCTTATTTATTAAAACTGAAAATATTTTGTTTGGACAAAAATGCTCGAACAGGTACATTTTTTTTCTATAGCAGATGTTAAACTATTTCTTTATCAACTCTTTTGAGTAGATAAAGCAGCACTTTAACCACAAGGATGGATAAAATGTTTTAACTTTAAATTTAGAAATTTTATTATCCACGAGTTGGAATAAAGCGTCCGATTACACTCAAACGAGTTGAATACACTTTATTTTATTTAACATTTTATTCTTCGAATTCGACTCAACAAGGCTTAAACTTGCTTTAAATCTGTTAAAGATAATCTGACGTTTTGTATTGACAATTGTTGAAATTGTTTTTTTTTGAAATCTTGTTTTTTTTCTTAAACTTTAAGTCCTGCTATAGAAAAAAAAATTATATTATACACGACGATAAAGATTGTTTATCTACTCGTGAAATAAGTTCACTCGTAGATAAACAATTTCTTTATCGTCTTGTATAATAAATACCTATTTTTAAATACAAAATTCTTAACTTGGTTTAAAATTGTACGTTTGTTTTTTGTTAATGCTGTTTCACTATTTTTGGTGATTTTTTTCGAAAACTTTATGTAGTATTTAATATTTTGGTGTTGTCATTTCGACAATAAAAAAATTAAAGGTTTTCATTAAAAAAATGTTGATGACGTAATTACTCAAAAACCAAAAAAGTTGAAAATTGTCTTTTTTTATAAAATTGACCTGTTTGAACATTTTTGTCTAACAAAAATAGTTTCAATTTTGCCACTCATTGTAAATTAAT